CTATGATGAGTTCAAGGATTTTCTCCAATACCTCAGCACTGATTTTTTTTCCTCTTAACACAGTCACCACTGGCTTCTTGATTGTGATGTTTGAAACATGCATTTTCTGTAAAGCAGCTTCGAAACAATATGTGTTGTAAAAAGCGCTATTCAAATAAATGAATTGAAATGAATGCCAGGTCCTACATCATTTAGACTAGTCATACATAGGCCTATATCACCACATACATTAATCAAAGCAATTCAGCACTGTTTCTTCCAGATGTGTATGTACTGTTCTGCACTTCATGTTTCTGCTATCGCTTTGTGTGGTGTAGTCATGAAATTTAACACCGTAGCATTTTTGATATTGTTAGCTCTTTTGCAATCAATTGATCAATCTTTATGATGAATCTTTGATGTAAAACCTATGTGAACCTAGTAACTAGTAGAGCCACATTTACGTTAAAGAAAAAAAACTTTTTGGCTACTGATTAGGTGCCTGTGTGTGAGTGCGTGTGTGTGTATGTGTGCGTGCGTGTGTGTGTGAGTGAGTGTGTGTGTGTGTGTGAGTGTGTGTGTGTGTGTGTGTGTGTATGTGTGTGTGTGTTTGTGTGCGTGTGAGTGTGTGCGTATGTGTGCGTGTGTATGTGTGCGAGTGTGTGTGTGTGTGTGCGGGTGTGTGTGAGTGTGAGTGTGTGTGCAAGTGTGTGTGTGTGTGTGTGTGTATGTGTGTGTGTGTTTGTGTGCGTGTGAGTGTGTGCGTATGTGTGCGTGTGTATGTGTGCGAGTGTGTGTGTGTGTGTGCGGGTGTGTGTGAGTGTGAGTGTGTGTGCAAGTGTGTGTGTGTGTGTGTGTGTATGTGTGTGTGTGTTTGTGTGCGTGTGAGTGTGTGCGTATGTGTGCGTGTGTATGTGTGCGAGTGTGTGTGTGTGTGTGCGGGTGTGTGTGAGTGTGAGTGTGTGTGCAAGTGTGTGTGTGTGTGTGTGTGTATGTGTGCGTGTGTGTGAGTGAGTGTGTGTATGTGTGCGTGTGCGAGTGTGTGTGTGAGAGAGTGTGTATGTGTGCGAGTGTGCGTGTGTGCGAGTGAGTGCGTGTGTCTGTGTGCGGGTTCGTGCGTGAGTGAGTGTATGTGTGCGTGTGTGTATGTGTGTGTGTATGTGTGCGGGTGTGTGTGAGTGAGTGTGTGCGAGTGTGTGTGTATGTGTGCGTGTGTCTGTGTGCGGGTTCGTGCGTGAGTGAGTGTATGTGTGCGTGTGTGTATGTGTGTGTGTATGTGTGCGGGTGTGTGTGAGTGAGTGTGTGCGTGTGTGTGTGTGTATGTGTGGGTCTGTGTGTATGAGTGTGTGTGTGTGGTGTGTGTGTGTGTGTGTGTGTGTGTGTGTGTATGTGTGCGTGTGTCTGTGTGCGGGTGCGTGCGTGAGTGAGTGTATGTGTGCGTGTGTGTGTATGTGTGTGTGTGTGAGTGAGTGAGTGTATGTGTGCGTGTGTGTGTATGTGAGTGTGTGAGTGTGAGTGTGTGTGTGTGAGAGAGTGTGTGTATGTGTGTGTGTGTGAGTGTGTCTGTCTATCTATGCTTAAAATACTTTTGGGAAATGCAGTCCAGACTGGTACAGCATTTCGTTCAAACCCTCTCTCTACATGATGTCTGTCAATGAATGCTTCTAATCACACCACGTCAATAGGACTGAGGTCTACTGTTTTTTCTCATCTGTCGGCAGCATATGGACCCACTAATGCCCTTCCAAGGGAGGAAAACATATAAACCGATGGATTACGGCAGGCAGAAGAGGTAAGCTGTTAATTTTACAGTCACACTCAACTGCAGCAGATTTAAAACAAAAAATGCTAGGGTCATTTTAGCACAAAATATAGTGTTACAAACAGAGGTTACATAATTTATTTTAAAGTAAAAAGTTGCTAGATTTATGATGTTATGGCAGAAATGCATCATCTTACCACACCTGAACAAAGCAGCAGTTTCTGCTTTAGCATTTCTCTTATTAATAATTCATGAACAAATGCCTACAGAATCTCAGCTAAATGTTGTTGTTTTTTTCCTGGATTCTGAAACATGAATTTCTATTGATCTTAGTCTATCTTTTTCCTACATCCAATGAGAGATTGCAGTAATTATAGAAGAAACTTCAGGCCATAATAAACTTTTGAGAGGACTGGATACACGTGAAATCTTGTGTAAAATAAAGTGCCTCATCCCATCATCATCAACCGTCTCAAGGAAACATGAACAAGTCACCCGAAAATGTACCTGCTTCTAGTACCTTGCTTTATTGGTCACCTCTGTTAGCAGTGATGAAGCACACCGCTTTGCATGAAGGCAACCTTAAATTCAAAGGACTTTATATAAAGTGAAAAATGGTAGTTCACTAATTTCCAAAATTGAAACAAATCATAATTCATGAATAAATTTGTCCATGAAATAAAAACTAAAATGTAACCAACAAAACCATTGCTGACACTAAATTAAACCGAAATCTAGAGTAAATTTGAAAATAGTAATAACAAAGCAAATATACTTTGAATAATTTCTGATGATCCATCATGTAAAGCTACAGTAAAAACGCCAATTTAATGACCAAGATTTAGTGACCAGGTTTTAATTGAAACATTGGTGCAACATAATTTCAATGTCACATCACAGCATGACCTGTAATGTTCACAATATTTACAAAACTGCTGTTTAGGACATCTTAAAAAATAAAATGAAACAATAAGAAATTATGGACTTTAACAAACTAAGCCTAACAGCCACATCAAAGCTATCAGAAACAAACATAATCAAGTGCACAACATACTTTACAAAGTCGACTGCTGTAAAGTACATACTGGTGAGAAAATATATACTCGGATACGTATTGAAAAAAAATACTGACATCAGAAAGGTTTGTAATACCAGTCAGATACCAATCAAAAAACAGCAAGCAAAGAGAATAAAATAAAAATGTCCACACACACACTCACACT